CGTCATCGAAAGAAGCCTGCGACGCCATGATACCCGCATCGTGGGCTCATTTTTCTTGAGCGGCAGGTGCTCCTGCGGCTACTTCGACCACGAGCAACCACAAACCGACAAGACGGGCTGGCGTCATTTGTTGTGTCTGGTTCGGTCAAGCCATGCCAGGCCGATGCAAGCGCGTATCGCTGGAGAGTTATGACTCCAGAAAGCGAGAAGCCTAGAGTCTTGGTAGCTTGTGTGCGTGGTGTAGATAGGATAGTGCTTAGGTGCCATATACGGATGATGTCCGGTAGCGACCCTATACGGTAGTGACCCATCATAGAGCCTCTTGACGAAGGTCTCATCCGGCACAGCCTATCGTTCTATCCACAACGCTGGCCTCCATAGTCTCAGTTCCCAATCTGCCTTCGTGGCGTAACACAATACAACTGCCTGCTTCCTGGGAGATGGCTCTCCCCTCGCTGCGTTGTTTGCGTTGCACTGCGGAAGCCACCACACATTGCAAGTTGCAGAGCTGTGTAATATAGCCTCAGTTCAAGAGATACCTCGCACGAACAATATTACTCTGTGACTTCTTGTCGATGGAATGGCACCGTTCGATGCTCCTTGTTGCCACGGGCAATGTCGAGTTCATTTCTGCTACATAAGATAATCGATCGCCCACGCTGGATCTGTCGTTCCAGCGCTGGGTTATTCCCGAAAGCTCGGGTCAAATCGCGCTCTGCGCATGTATAGACCACGACGCTGGCGCTGCCTCTGCTGTGGCTTGTGCCACCCAATGACCTAAGCGTGGCTTCGTCGCCACAGCATCGGCACATTGTGCTTCTGAATGTACTTTGGTGATAACTGGCATGTAGCTCGAGCCAAACCGAAAGTGGCGCTGACTCGGTCGATGGAGCCATTGGTCGACGTCCAGAGTCGGCTTGCTCTCTTGGTCCTCAGCCACTCGGTGAGCAAGCTCTCGACATTCACTGACCTCCTCACGGTATTCCCGTCCCTTGTTTCAGTCGTGATGACATCTTGGTGTCGTCGATGGCGAACACGCATTTGTTGGATGCGATACCACATGTGCGCGCCGCATCATTGCTGCGGTTGTCGGTCGTGGACGTTGCTGGTACCTCGACTCTGCAAGCTACGATCTTCTGGTCTCGTGTAGGCGCCGCTCCTGCAGCCGTAGCGACCGCTTTGGTCTGGTCGGGACCTCTCGACGGACAAAACGCAGCTCTTCCAGGCGACATGCTCGGCCCTTCTCGCTGAGAGCTCGCTGCGCCTGCCAGCTCTCGAAGCTCGCAGAGTCAGGCAAGGAAACGATCGCACCAGCACACACGCGTCGTCGGTGGCGCCAGGTCCCCAGCGCCGCCGACACGTTGACACAGACGACCATCAAGGGCTAAAAACCTAAGTTATATGATTCTACTATGCGACTAGAGTACAAGTATTCTACATGGCGCCAATGCCTAGTACAAGTCGGCGTCATCGCTGACGCCGAGTCGAACGGCGCAAAACACTTCGAGCGCCGAGTTGAGAATTTCGTCGTCAAAGGCGACGACGTAGTTGATGAACTCCTGGAAGCGCTCGCGCCGGGACTCGATCATCGCGACGTCGTGTCGGCGCCAGTACGTGCGGAGACCGGCCTCGGGCAGCGGCGGCAAGTCTTCAATGAGCAAGCTCATGTCGTGGTGAAAGAGCTTGAAGTCCGTAAAGCGTTTGGTGACCACGATTTCGTCCGACGTGATGTGGTAGAGCACGACGCCAGTCTCGTCGATCGAGTAGGACGAGAGGAGGTAGACCTTTTGGGGTGGCGCAATCGGCGCGGTTGTCGGCACCAGCGCCGACGAAGTGTTCACGGCCGACGACGAGTGCGTGCAGCCCATGGCGAATCACAGAATGCTACATCTTCGCTTGGTCTCAAACGCTTTCTTCCACCTGTCAGGATTGAAAATTTCCAGCCCCTGCGATTCCCACACTCAAGTACACCATCGCGGTGTCTCGTCTGAACTGCAGACGTTGCACGAGCTCTTTGATAGATCACACGATAAACGAGGGATCTCTCTTGGTATTCTGCACACAGAGAGCCAAAATATGTGCTACTTGGTCGCGTTGTCGTTGCATTGAGATGTGAATTGGAAGGGAGCCGCGCCATCGAGTACTTTTTAAGGGAATACCGAATGATGGTCGTCGGCACATGGACGGTAGAGAGGCGCTGAGAAGGGATATACACGTGGTGCGCCACCGCATGGCAACTGGACTGTGTGGCTCGTAGCGTACGTTGCGTGTCCGACCTCTATTGCATTGTTGCGGATAGCCGCGCTCCGCCGTTAACACCGACGCACTTCAACAGTGCTTCAACCAGTGCCAATGCGGCATGAAGTAGAAATGACCGTGGGTGGCCGCGTGCGCAGCCCTTGATGCAGTACCAAGTACGTCGCGTGTCGTAGGTTCTACAACGTACTTCGCTCACCCCTCTCGATAGCAGGAGACGCAGTCGCCCTTGGTTCACTGCTCGCTTTGATGCACAACAGTCGGCCATTGTTGAGACAGCATCGACCTTGCACACTGCACTGTCAACAGGTGTCTCGAGCCCGACAGTCGCACCAACATCGACGACTTGACCGATCAAACATGTAGCTCGCCGGGCCTCCTGGTACTGCGTGTGCAGGGCGAGCAACACAACACAATATTGTGCACAAAACAAGCGTACACGTTTGCTATTCTCCACGGTCCACCTAGTCATCGTCGTTCTCTATTGATCGTTCTTGCTATTTACATCATAAATTGAAAGCCATAGCCAAACTTCAGGTCGTCCGCGGCCGGCGTGCCTTCGGCTGAGAGGAGCAGCTGGAGCTGCGGCAGCACCTTGCACTCGAGCGACGTCGCGAGCTTGAACGTGTGGTCGATGCTCGAAACGAAGCGCGTTTGGCGCAAGTCGACCTCGACACCGAGCGTGCTCGCAGCCTCGCCCGACGGCGCGTTGTACACGAGCTCGGTCGCGAGCCGGACGCGGTCCGAGACCTTGCGGAGGTAGTGCAGCTGGAGCGTGCCCTGCGAACCGTACGAGGCAATGCCGGTCCACTTGGCATCCGTGTACTTGGCCACATACGACGCGATCGTCTTGCGGTGCTTGCCGTAGTAGTAGCCCTCACCGCCGATCGCCCACTCCTTCGTGACGCTCTGCAGGTAGTTGACACCGAGGAGGAGGCCGTTGCCGACCTTCAAGTTGGCCGAGCAGTCGGCCGCGCTAAAGTCAATGTCGACCATCGCCTGCGACGCATGCGCTTCCTGCTTGAGCTGCGCCTGCGCGCGCATCTTGAAGTGGTCGCTGAGGCGCGCATGCCAGCGCGCATCGACCGAGCCATCGTGCGAGACTTGGCCGCGGAGCTAATATGAGACACAGTCGCTAAGCGCCGTGCACACAGATAGTGAGAACGACGTACGAGCATGGGTTCAGGGCCGTCGCCGACGACCGTCGTCGCGCCGAACTGGTAGACGCCGCCGGGGATCTGCGGGCAGCCGAGGAGGAGCGCGTGGTTGACAGCGAAGCGCGGGCCAAGGTTGCGCTGGAAGTCGAAGCGGAAGCCCTCGAACGTGCCAGGCATCAAGACCGACTTGACCTCGCCGAGGACGTTCTCAAAGGTGCCCGGGTGCGGCAGCGACTTGTGCGCCTTCTCGATGGCCTCGACGGCGGCCACGAGCGAGTTGGTCGAGAGGTCCTCCGGGGCCTCCGAGAGCTCGGGCAGGGGCACGGACGTCGCGGACGACGTCGCGAGGACCTTGAACGAGCCGTGCTTCGCGAGGTACGCCAACATCGCTCGTCTTTGATCCCAACAAGTCAGCAATAGCAGCCACCAGTGCTCGACCAGCCACGCAATTGGGTCGTTCGAGACGAATCGATCAAGTGCGAGCGCACTTTCTACCCGATTAAGTGCGCTTTGTCAGCTTATTTCAACCAATCGCAGCTCGCATTGGCGCATTCGACACGTTGATTGACTGTTAAATTTTATTTTCAAGCCAATCAAACAACGTGCAGTGGCAGACGACAAGGCCATTGGGGGAAATGCAAAAAAGTTCAACAGCGACTTCGTTGCGGATCGACTTGGGCAATGCTTTGCAGCTGCTTGGTTCAAGTCGAGGTCGCGCGTGCTAGGAGCGGGCCGGAACGGCTCTATCGAATGAAGTCGACTGCAGCCGTGCTGTCGACAAGGACCCGAAAAATGCGCACGTTGATGGCACTCGCCCACGCTCCAGTTGCTATTTTGCTTTGACCAATCCGTTTCGATGACTTGGCATACGTTGCCTGGATTGGCCAAAAAAGCATGGGCGTTGGCGCCAAGCCCACGCGAGCCCCATGCGACGCAGATCTTTGTTCCGTTGCCTACATGGGTGGATCGTCCCGCCCTCCTGGCGCTGAAAGCAGGAGCATGCAGCCTCCACTTGGCGCCAAAGGGCAAACTCGATGTTGAAAAGTTGCTATCTCTAGCGTTGTGCCTTAGAGTGTGGCCACCATTGTCCGTTGCGATACCTTCGCAAGCCGTCACCACGCACCATGGTGCATCATAGATCGAGTCGACCGACGTCAGCGCGCAATGGTGCCCTTGGCGCGACGTCACACACCATGGACGTTCCGACGCACTCACTGGAAGACAGCAGTGGCAACCTCCCGGCAGTGTTGAACACAACCAAGGCGCTCCACTCCTACTAGTAGGACTGCGATGGTCTCGCCCGAGACTTTTGCCATAACTCACGATTCCGTTGTTGTGGTGCGGCAAAGGCCTTCCACCGACTGCCTGTCCAAGTACTGTAGTACTCAAGTCTAGCGGCGCGGTCGACGCATTTCTGTCGCGTTGCATGAAGGATGCACACAACGTCCTCAGTAAGTGCGCTCTTATTATGTCGACTTACAAGAGCAGTCGGACCATGGCCAAGAGCACAATGAGAGCGGCGAGGGCGACAAAGATCACAAAGACGATGCTGAGCGCGCGACACGCCAGATCGTCCAAGGGCGAGATCGGCGCCGCGACCGTCGGCTTGCGTCGGTGCGCACGCAAGGTCGTCGCCAGCGCCAGCGACCGCGCGCTGCGTCGGGGCACCTATGCACAATCGATGACAATATTCTCCAACAATTGAGATAGTACGTTGCGGATAGCTTGGTTGGTCAGTCGACGCACGTGGCGCTGGCGGATCGTTGCATGTGTTGCGTCGCTCGTGTACTTGGGCATCGGTGTTTCGGCAGGTGCTTCGTCGTTCTCGTCGTCCTCGTCGCCGTCACCGCTGAACGCAATGCTGAAGCGTGACGTGACGCTGTCCGTGTCAGCCATGTCCGTCTCATTGTCGCTGAGCGCCGCGTCATCGTCCGCGTGGTCATCGTCTTCAGCCGCATCTTCGGCCGCATCTTCGCGCGGCGCCTCGTCGGTAGCAGCGGTGGCGGGTGTCGCGCTCATGTTGAACTTGGACAGCATGAGCTCCTCGAGCTCCTTGGTCACTTGATCGCGGGGGCGTTCGCTAAGGAGAGATCGTTTGGCCATGTGCTGTCATCGCATAACGTCACGCTACCGGGTCGAGTCGGACGACAGGACGTGACAGAGGTTGGTGGCGACCTCGAGAAGGAAAATCGTGCTCTCGGGCGACGCAGCCACGTCCGTCAGGTGGTTGCACCAGTCGCCAAAGCCGTCAATGACCTTTAGACCCTAGTACGCAGCAGCGTCATAGGCCTCATGTCGAAGCCCGCGGAACAGACCTCGGGTGTCGCGAGCATTTGGATCCAGCTCTGCACGGCCGACGCCAGCTGCTTGGTCGCCGCCTTGGTCTCTGGCGTGTTGAGTGCTTGGCACGTCTACACCCGACAGCGGTGAAGATACTGCGACATTTGCCGATTGGCCGCTACCTTGGCGACCGTCGCGACGCAGTCTTGAACAACAGCTTGGCCTTCTGGCGTCGCCGCCATCGCAAGCGTATGGTCACGCAGCGCCTAACGCAGTGCTCGTTACGTGGCGCCCTAGCAAGAGATAGATACCCTTGTTGACGCACTCCACTCGACCGAGTTGTCGCTGCCGAGGACGAGCGCGGAATTGGAGATCGCGAGGCTCAAGAGGCGCGAGACGTCGCGGGCGCGCTGCGGTGTGTTCTCTTTGAGCGTATCCCAGATCTTGCCGCTGAGCACATATGGGTTGGCGATCGAGCCCGAGATCATCTGCGCGCCTAGGGGCAAAGTCAGCGCATTAGGACATGGCGGACGTACAGGGTGTGACGACGGTTGCGTCGACCTTCTGGCCGGCCCACTCCATGAGGCCGTACGAGAGGATCATGAGGTTGCCCTTGAGCGACGAAGCATCGCGGGCAGCGGGCGACGCCATCCGCCGCCTTGGGTGCAAAGCGAGTTGTGTCAAGCCCAAGCCGAAAGCGACGTCAGAGGCGAAAATGCATACAATGACATACAAACAGTAAGATTACTGTGCTATACTCGTTGATTGTAAGCTGATTTGCATGTTGCATCCCGTTTCAGACGCGTGGCGCCAGCTAATAATTCCGCGCCAACGACATTTCGGACGCAAAAACGAGCGCAGTTGCAGTAGTAGCTAGCTCATTGACAACAAAGAGCAGACGAGCTCCATGACACGAGGGCAACGATGCCAAGCGAAGACGCATCAGATAGCGAGGGGGCTCTGTATTGGCTTGATGGCCGCTTCATCGCGGCGAAGCTCCTTGTGACCAGCGCTTGCGTCAACATTCGCGGTGGCTTCCTCTTTGCGCTCGTCTTCTAGCTTGGGAACAACTCGAGGAGATTTAACTCGAGGGATATTCCCATGTTTTAACTCAGCCAGAGTCGCGGCGTACGAGGTTCATTTGGTAGCTGCTGTCGACGCAATGGAAAAGACCTTTCAAACGGAGTACCTGTTACAAACTATATAAGCAATTATAGTTAGACAAGAGTTCTTATTTCAAAATACTCTATAAATACATATCCTGCCGTACTCACTAGGTGAACCTCGATGCGTGCTTGAGGTATTGAACCAAGTAGCTCGCATGTAGGCTTTGAGGTTGGCATTCACATACATTTCATGCCGTATTCGTGGCTGTCGATGAGGTGTGGACGATTATCAATTTTATTAGAGCATTATTCTCGAGGTCGCGTTGGATTGGCTGAAACCGTCGTTTTGCCAGGCCATCATGACGTGGCGGCGTGCGATGGCACATGACCATTTTGGCCACCAATAGTGCTCCAGGCGTCCAAGTTTGCCGCTGACTGCCCCACTAGTTTTTTCAAGAATGATCATCGATGCAAAACGCATACTAGTTCTAAATTCTCTACTTTTAACTCTCACTTGGTTTGTAGTCGAGCGGATGGCGGTGTCGTCGCCCGCTCCGAGCCGTCGCGGGACGGATTCGAACGGCGCGTGAGCAGCCCATCCGGCGTTTGCTTGCGGTCCGACTCGGTTTTCTTTCGCGAAACTCGCTTTGGCTTGACGAGCTGCGCGAGAAACGCATCGAAGATAGGAGGCTCGGCCAGCACCTCGCTCATGGCCTTGAGGCGCGTCGGCCACACCGGACCACAACCTATCAAATACCAGACATCGTATCCAGATCGAGAATTTAGAAATGCGTCGTACCTTTGTCTGCACCCGAGTAGTACTCGACCGAGAGGTATCCTTTTTCTGGGTAAAGGCCCGGCGTGAGCCACGACATGTTGAGGACCCAGCCCGGAATCGGCACGTCGCGCGACCAGCCAAACCGAGCGTCTTGCCAGTTTTCACCTAAGCCGCGGCTTGAATGTCGTCACATTCGATGAGCCGACGTACCTGGCTCGTCGAGCGCAAGCTGCACGAGCACTTTGGAGACCTCGCGCTGTTCGTAGATCGTCAAGTCGAGCTCTACACCGGCCTCTCAGCGACAAACGTGTGTTGAAGGGTCTACCAAAGTAAATGTCCGGGTAGAGCGGACTCCAGAGGTTGAGCCAGCCGAGTCGAAAAATGAGCTGCGCGACCTCCGTGTCGGAGAGCGTCCACAGCACTTGGACATAGTTGTACAAATCCAGTGTCCGATCAAAGAGCGTGAGCGCCTATATCATATTGTGCTCTACGTCGACCGAGATGCGATGACGCGTACGGCATCGACGCGCGTCGTGCCAAAGTCCATGGGCCAGCGCTCCAGGATGAAGCGGACTTGACTTGTCGTGACCCACCGCGTGCAAAAGAGCGCTTGGAGCTCCATGAGCAACCGGCGGCCCGTAAAGCTAATCTACATCCAACAATAAATTGCGCCGTCCGGTCGCACCCAATCATGCAACGCACCTGGCGTGGCGCTTCTGGGGACACGACCGCGCCCGGAATCACAAGCGGCGTCGATACATCGCGCGACTGTGAACCATGTAACGTCTGACACACAAAAATGTCGACGTACGTAGAGTTCCGAAATGCGCACAGTGCTTGCTTGCAGCTCGAGAAGAAAGTCGTATGCGAACGGACTTAGGCGACGCCCCGTTGTCGCGGGACTAGGCGCCCGACGGCGACTCTCGGGCGAGGCGCGATCCAACGCGTCCAAGCAGAGCTTGGAGATGAGCTGTTGGAAGCGGTTGTCGGACATGGGCAGAATGCCTAGATCGAAGGCAAAGCCAATCAAATGATACCCGTGCATAGGGCTATGGCGTCGTATTGTACCGGACTTGGGTCGCGACAACTGGACAAAATCAAAGTCGAGCATGCCAAATTTCGGCAACTTGTCACAAAACGTGGTCGTAATCTCGATTTTCTTGTTGTTGTAGATCTCGTTGCGGAACCCCATGTGGTTTTCGTGCTGACTCGTGTCCTTGAAGTTGTTGGTGCGCCGGTAATACATGATTTTGTTGTTGATTTCCATGACCTAAAGGATTGTCGCATTGGCATTCACGAGGAAACATGAAAAATGAACTTTTCGAAACGTGGCGCGGTCAATGTCGTCGGCGAGGTCGAGCGAGTAATGCCCCGTGGCCAGGCCCACGACGGGGCCGTACCTAAGACAATATTCTCAAATTATTTTGTACGAAAAATCGACGCACATGTCTTTGAGCACAGTCTGCAGGCGCAAGCGCTGGGCCGCATTCACGTTCGACTCGATCAGTGGGCACGCGTGGTTGGGGTCGACCTACGTGTCAGTAAGGACAAATCAAGTTGATAAGTGTCGTACGACGTGGGGAAGGATGAGGGCAAGGGCTTCGACAATGTCCATTTTAGACACGAGCGTGTCCAAAAGCATTTGCCCTTCGTTCTGACGCACGTGCAGTCCATCTAGCAGAGATACGTCGAATATCAACTTGATAAGATTGCATACTTTTGGCCAATTTGATCAAATTCACTTGGTTCGGATCGGCTTTGATGTTTTCAATGAGCTGCTCGACGCCGAGCTTGGACTCGGCTTCGTCGGCCTCGGACGGGATGTGCAGATCGATGAAGTCAATCTGGTGGAAAAATAAGAAACGAGTGGTAAAACCACTAGATTTGTGTACCTTGAGGCGACCTTCCTTGGGAATTGAGAGAGGTAAGCCCGACGTCGTGTCGATCCACTCCATTGTCGGCTTGTCGTCAAAGTAATATTGGGACATCAAGTCGACAAATTCCGGAAATTCCATCGTGCCCGTGCCGTCCACATCATAGCGCGTCACGAGACTAGTCGAGTGCATGGTTAATAATATTCGTGCACAAAATGCAAGCAAAACATACCGAGTGGCTTCCCCCGGCTGCAAGCGCACGCCCAACGCGGCCATGCCACGCTCCAGCTCCGTGGCTTCAATGTTGCCAGAGCCATCCGCATCGAGGGTTCTACTCAACGTGTCATCTGCAGCAACAACGCATCGGCAATGTACTGAAACAGCTTTTCCAGCTTGTCTTGAGGCACTTTGCCGCGAAGGACCATGTGCGACGAGGACCGCCGAATGAGCTGTGCGCGTGCCCTGCCGACTTCTTGGTACTCGACCTTGAGATCGCGCGTGGTCTAGTCCAATAATCATAATGTACTTTCAACGCAAACGACAACGAAACCTTGTCCACTTGGTGCACGAAGGATAGAAAGCGGCAGCCTTTTTTCGAATTGGCAAACCGCAAGAGCTCGCAAGCAATCGCGCGATCGTATGGCTCGGCCATGTCCAAGTCGTATTTTCCCTACGTATACACGCATTCAATACCGATTTGTACATTTTGCTTTTCAATATGTACCGTCGCATCTTGCGGGTCAAAAAGACTCGAATCGTCAATGTCAAAATTGCACCTAGCATTTTCGCCAGATGAGCACATAAACGTTTACTGAAGCGATCCCAGCGCACCCAACGACAGAGATGGAGAGCACTTTGTCGCTCGCGCTCGAGATGGACTGCAGCAATGTGCGTCCCCCAATACGACCTAGAACGAAGACGTTGACACGCGGGCATTGTACGCTATCTGTATAGAACTATACCAAGAGGATTCCCGTCCATGCAAAGCTGCGTTAGCGTGTTGTTGACGTGGAGAGCTTGAGCAATCACAAACGCTGCCTTGCTAGGAATATTGTTTTGGGACAAGTCGAGCTTCTCGAGGGTAAAATTTTCTTGGAGTGCGCAGCCTACGAGGATGCAATATAGCAATATGACGACAAGATCAATATAGGATTTCTGCATCGCATATAGTACCGATGGCCTGGGCGCCAAGGTTCCCAAACGCATTATAGCTCAGGTTGAGTTCTTTTAGCCCTGTTTCAGCACGATCAACACTTGGCGGACAAGCATTTTGTGCGGTACCAAAGTTGTGCCCGATGGCGCGCCCCAGTTGAATGGCGCTATTGAGACGCAGTACGTTCCACGATAAATCGAGCTTGGTGAGATGACTACAAGACATATGTCATCACCAAACGAGCGTAAGGCATGACAACGTACTTGTTGGCGGCCAGCATATCGGCAAGGGCCTCGCCTCCCGTGACCAAGTCGGGCTGCACCGCGTTGAGCGCTTCCGAGGTCCCAATGAGATTGCGGCTCAGGTTCAACGTTGTGCAAATGCGGTTGGTTTTCATCGCGTCCGCAAACGGAATGAGCTCGCCATCGTCTAATCACACTCAATTTAGACGCTGGCGGTGTCGCTCCAGGAGGCACCAATGTCGCACGTGCTGAGAATCAGCGTCGTAAGACCGCACAGCGGGTTGCCAAGGTACTCGGCGAGCGCCTCCGCAGCGTCACCGTCCACTTTATTCTCAGACAAGTCGAGGGCGACCAAATCGGGCTTGCTTCGAACCACCTAGGTAGAGAGAAGCCGTGGTATGTCGCGATGCAGCGTCAGCCTACATTGACGAGGGCTTGGAGCCCTGGATCCGTGAGGCGATTGTTGCGCGCGTTGAGCGATAGCACCATCGGTAGCTCGACGAGGCAGGCACTGAAAACTAGGGACAGGGTTCGATCACCGCCGATGCCGCACTTGTTGCGTACTTTTGGCCAATTCATCGCCCATGGACATGTGCGACACGTTGATTTCGGGTGAAATCTACAAACGTAAGCCGTTTTGCCGATAGCACAACGGCAATTTACCTTGTTGCGAATAATGAGCCGGAGACACGGCGGTAATTCATGCTCCAAGCACATGGATACAAACTTGTGCCGGGCCGTGAGCGCCTCTTAGGCTTCGTAAAACGCAGTTTCCAAGCGGTACCTCGTACCTTTGGCGTTGAACATGCCAATCGGGTCTGGCGACGGCTCGCTCTGCGATGCGAGCATGGACTTGAACTTGTCGACAAGCCCGTCGGTGCCTCCCATTTGCAAGTACTAGAACAAACAATATTCAGCACGCGACTGTCCAATCATTCACAAAAAGACCTGCTGCGACGCCATTTTTGTGTAGATTTGCTTGAGCACCCGCCGCCCCGTGGCGCCAAAATAGTTGTGGCGCTCGTCGTCGGACAGCGGATTGATCTCCCCTAACCCGACTAGAACCACCATGAGGAACTTGCGCGTGGATTCAGGTCTAAAGGTACGCGGTTTGACACTGCCAGTCGTGGGTGCCGCATTGGAGGCCAAGAACAAGTGCTTGGCTGTTGAAAACGACGTTTCTGACGGTGGTGGGGGCAGCGTCAGACCCGAGCACTGCAAGAAGACGTCACGGGGGGCGACCCCCCCACCTTTTTCTACGCGCCCAATTTGCTCAAACCATAGCATTTCATATCGACCGACGTACCGAGAACAAGCTGAGGTAGCTCGGTTTTGATTGCAGGCGGAATGGCCCAGCGCGGGTTGAGCGAGTCGACGTCCCAGATCATCTTGCGCTGCCGTGCCGCCTTGTGTTTCGCGCGCTTTCGCTTCTTCACGCAGGCGTCACAGGACGATGTGTAGACGCTGCAGTCATTGCAGTTGATGCGGCGGCCGCGGTGCCCCGGCGGCGCGATGCGGATGTACACGTCCCGCGTGAGCGCTGGCATTCGAACGTGAAGCGGCGTCGTCGTTTCTCATCATCGGCGGTTTCCTCGCGCCTTTCTGGTCAACTTTCTAGCGTTCAATGGTCACTACGCGTAACGCATCAAGTCACGACGTCGGCAGTACGTGCACAGGACGGACTGCCTGCGAATGAGCAGTCAACTGATAGCCCCTTGCGTGTTTACCGCACTCAAGCCGAGCAAAAGAGATGCATTCGATCGCAGTCAACTTCGATGGGCGACAGCTGCCGTCATGCATACAAGACCCAAAACCGACCGCCATGACGAAGATAACACGGTTGTCAAGCATGCTTAACCTGATGCTTGGCACGATGCGTTGACGCGGGAGGTTGCGGCTGGTAGTGACGCTCAGTGGCCTCCTTGGCGCCCACACAGGAACCGTCCATTCTCCCAGCCGACAGTTTGCTCTACCTACTACATCAACGCGCATGACTTCGCGCCTCTAAAGGGCCGCCGGCACGTCCCAAGTCCCTCTCCGCGACCGCCGTAGTGCGAATTCGGTTGGCAGATGCGACCCATGGCATCCACAGTGCAAGACACTGGAACGGTCGCCCATCTTTGCTCAAGTCGAGAGGACACAGAAAACCATATGCATGTTGACGAGGGTACTGGAAAGCGCGCGCAGTTAGACTTGATACGACGGAAGCGTCGCGCGAGCTTCGAACTGGCAGTCGCCGGGCTTGTACGACTCGACGTGGGTTGCCATTTGCGCCAGCGAGCAGCAGCCGCAGAAGAGCGCGCAGAGCCCGTCCTCGACGATCGAGCCAGGGATGTGGAAGAGGCCGCGTACCTTGAAGCGCAGGTGCCACATGAAGAGGAACATGACAAAGCCGAGGATGCCGACGATGCTCCGGAACCACGATGCCTTGACGAAGCACGCAATGAGGTACATGATGTAGAAGAAGAAGGACGCGAGGAGCACGTGCAGGTACTGGCCGTATCCGATGCGCGTCGTGACTTGCGCAATGCTCACGCACGGGCAAAACGTCACCATGACCGCTAGTTTGCACTTGTGAGCATTCGAGGACAAGACATAGGCGCGTACTGTTGGGAATACACGTGTCAAAGCAGCCAAAGATCGCAATCTTCCAGCGGCCCGTGACGATGCCGTCAAGGTTGACATTGGGTTGCGCCATCGCGGTCGGTCCGTGGTCCATGGCTTGCGCGTTGTGGGGCAAATTCGACTTTGGCCAAGCGCCGCGAAGAGTGCCCTTTCGCAAGATCGCATTTCTTAGTGCCGGTCACGGGCACTTCTAGCCGACATACAGTGTCCAAATGAAATTGTTTTTATCCTATGACAGTTGACGGAGAGAAAGGGATCCGGCACTGCAATGTATCAAGTTGATACGATCGGCCAAGAGGCGCAAGATACGCCGTCACTATCGACTGCGTGTTGAGATAGTTAGGACGACGCATCCGGACACGCGGTCGTGCGGTAGTAGAGCGCATTGTACTCGGTCGGTGCGTCCACAAGCTTGCCATCGAGAGGGCGGCGCCGTCCGTCGTGCACACGGTGGCCGGTCCGTGCAATTGCTGCCGTAACCACTCGTTGGCCTCGTGCACGGTCGCCGCCAACGTCGTCGTCCACTGTAGTTGCGACGGTGTAGTCGCACCAAGCAGGGCAAACGTCACAGCAAGTGTCGTCGCCTCGGTTAGGTCTATCTCATCGTGATGGCTTGTGACGCTTGCCTCGAGTTGCGTACCGTAGGGCGTCGCTCGCTTCTTGCTTGGCGACAGTAGCGGTGGTGGCGGATGCAGCAGTCGCACGAGCGCATCAAACGCTGTGTCCGCACGCAGCGCGCGCTTGGTGGGAATACCTGCGCGACACGATGGACACTCGTGCTTGCCGCTCGCGAGGCAGGCGTCGATGCATCCTCGGCAAAAACGGTGCAAGCACGCCGGCACAACTGTGGTCTGCTGCAAAACGCCGAGACAAATCGGGCACGTCAGCTCCGCATCCAACTCTGTCACCGGCACGTCGAGCGGAGCCGCCGTGGTTACGGGACGTGGCGCTCGAAAGAGGTCGTAGGGCGTCAAATCTTCGACGAGCGTGTACTCGACATACGTTGAGATTGGGTTGAGACGGCGGTGGACGAGGCCTTGGACGTGGGCGTCGTACGCCGCGCGGCTGAACTTTGCCGACCCCAGCGGCATCGGACTCACGTTACACGGTTACAGGATCCGTTGGTTCGAGACGGAAGTTCCGTCGAGTCGACGGCGAGCTTGCTACACCCCATGAACTGCCTTCACTAAACTTTCTCGAATGGCGGCGGTGTTCGACTGTGCAGTCGATCGATACGACACCATTGTAGTCGAGTGCTAGGGTGCTAGGTTAATGCGCTAGTTCGGTTTCAAACATTACTACCACCGAGTATGACCACCGACCAGACCACCGACGGTACTTTCTTGGCCACCATGCCAGTGACTAGCCGCCGTTCGCGAGGTCAGGAGCGATCGCAAGCGTCCTGTCCCAACGCGGCCTCCCACGGGAACAAGCCAGAATAGCCCGTTGGGCAGAAGATGTGGCCCCATCGTCATTGTGTGTCTGCCATCGCGCACTTTCGCTTTTGCGCTGCAATGTTTGATTCCTCCAAGGCGACCCCGCTGCAGACGCTGAGCCCCAAGGTCGACGACGTCCGCGACGACGATGAGCACCACCGCGACACGACGGGCACGTACCTGACGGGCGACCGCCCGCGTGACGAGAACGTGCTCGTGGTCGGGCGCTGGGAGGCGCCAGTGTTTGGCTGCTTGACCGACGTGGTGCCCAACTGCCTCTTGGCTTTCTTCTGCCCGTGTGTGTCGTTGGCGCAGACCATGGCGCGTCTTGGCGTTGCGAGCTACTACCCGATGCTCTTGGGCCTTGCCCTCTGCTACGGCACGGGTTATGGTGCGGTGCTGCCGTGGCTGCTCATGTGGTACTTGCGCTACAAGCTGCGCACGCGGCTCTCGATTCCGGGCTCGGTCGCGACCGACTGCTTGCTCACCTTTTGCTGCTGCGGGTGCACGTTGGCGCAGATGGCGACGCAGACGCACTCGTACGAGCGCAATACGTGCTCGATCGCACCAAAAGCGACGTTGCCCGGGTACAGCGACTTGCTCACGCACCATGACGCGACCCACGACCCGATGACACCGCCGCGTCCGTTTGGCCATGCGTCGACGGCGCCACAATTGGAGGAGCCGGCGCCAACGACGCCCCCCAAAAAGGTGTTCAAGGACCCCCCGCCCCCCGGTATGCACTACGGGTAGTCAGACCCACGCGCGACGATGTCACGTAATGCAAGTCTTGAGCATGCATGTGGTGTTTAGCCGATGGACTAAGCTTAGGGTGGAGGTTTAGCGTAGGGCTAGGGTAGGACTAGGGAAAGTACCGCGCACAGGCCTGTGCGTCGTCACACGCATAGTTGCAGAGGCCGTTGGCAAGCAATTGGCGACTGCACAATGATGCCTCGCACACAGCGTCGAGTTGCACCCAAGGCGGCACGCGGGTGAGCGGGTTGCACGACAGATCGAGGAACCCCGCGAGCGGCGCCACGGGCCCCGACGGCCACGCGGTGATCGCGCACGACGACAAGAATGCAGTCTGCAAGCTCGGCAGACGAAAAAGCTCGGGCGGCAGCGCCGTGATTCGCGTGTGGTGCAATGCAAGCTCGCTCAAATTTGGCAGCTCACGCACAATGGTGACGAAATCGTCGTCACCGATGGGGGTCTCCGTGACATGGAGCGTTGTTA